CAAGATATGTGAGCTAGGATAAGTGATATACACAAGGGTAAACAAAATAAACAAGATAGTGGATGATATAAATAACGAGAAATGAAAAATGGCGACAAGAAATATAAACATAAGAGAAGTGTGCCAAAGCAAACTCAAACACACGATATGATCACGGAGTTCGAACCTTCCGTCCTATGTCTCCGCTCCCCACTCCCGGGGAGAAATCCACTATCACAACCGGGTTTTCTACACTTACCCGAATTACGTTTATACCTCACAATATTGGGTTTCAATGCTCACTAATCAATGTTCACACCTCACACTCTCACTCGGTTTTCTAACTCACCGAAAACTTTACAACAACACACTCGGTTTTCTAGCTCACCGAAAACCTTATAATCTCATAATATAACAAAAGTTGTTCTCTACAATGGATGAGAACTCAATTAAGCATAACTCAATGTTACAATCCCACAACCTAAATTATACTATGAATATAAATACAATAAGCTCAAGTGGGTGTGTGTAAACAATGAGTTAAATCAAATCTAAACTTAATATAAAACTAACTTTAATAAAATGATAATCAAACAAAAAGATATAAAGCTAGAAATAGAGTTTAGAAAACTTCTCAATAGATTAAGAGATAGAGGGAGAATAGTTGGATGCTCAAACTCCAATAGATGATCTCCTCAAGCTCTTGTGGAATTGATTCACAAAACTGAAACACTCAAATGCTTAAAAGCTTATAAACACACTTTAAACAAACTTAAACCCTTGATTAAAACTTTGTTAAACCTCTTGGATTGCTACTGAAAACTGAGGTATAATAGGGTATTTATATGAAACCCCAAAGCCAAGAGAAAGCCAAGAAAAGACCAAAAAACCAGCTCAACAACGGCTCTGGAAACTAGCCGTTGGAGCATATTTGACAGTGCGGTGGTCGATCGCGAATGTCATCAAAGCAGAGAAAACTTCCAGAGAGTTCGACGGTCGACCGTGACGGTCGATCGTGGGAATTTTTATCTTGACGGTTGACTACCACGGTCGACCGTAAAAGTTTCTGCTACCTACTCAGAGAAAAACATAGGCGCGGTCGACCGTGGTGGTCGATCGCAAACTGATACAAAATATTTCAGGTTTGAAAGTAAAATGCTGATTTTAAAACCCCGTTTAAAAATATTAAATAAATTCCAAAAATTATAAAACTTTGGGAAATGATTGTAGGCATAATAATAAACATGCTACATAAACTGGTTTTCAAAAAGGACCTCCCAAATGAAAAATATCATCATTTTGCAAAATAGTCCAAAACATAAAAATGTAAACATATGAATTTTAACATTTTGGCTAAACCATGTTTTGAAACAATACAAAATAATTTTATAGACTTAATAGAAGATGTAAACTATTGTTATGAAGCCTATAAACAATGAATATAATATTTTATCAAAATACACATATAATACACTAAAACATGATTTCATGGAACTAAATAAAATTGATATTGATGAAATCATATAAATAAGTATGAAACAAAAATATGTTTTCCAATTGTATTCAATTGTTTCATAATAAAACTTAAAAACTATCAAACCAAAACATATGTGTATATATATAACTATATATATGTACGGAAACCAATAAATGTGTGTGTGTATATTATATTGAGCTTAAGGTACTAACACACATAATATAAACTCCTAAACTAAATTACCCAAGCTTGATATTGATCTTCAATAGCTTGACTTGGTAATCTTGCGGATGAAGTTTGTAATTGGATCTTTAACTTGAATTGTATAGGCTTCAACCACTATTCCGCCAACCTCCATTTGATATGATCGTGAATGCTCGATTCCATTCAACCTCCAACATGTTGTTTGTCTATAATAAATAGAATTATACAAACACTAGACAAATAACATTAGAAGTAAATTATTTATTAAACATCATCAAAACAAGAAGGCCAACAAACACTCATAAAGTTCATCATAAGCATGCTCATGTGTTTAAATGTGATCTTTGTGGACGTTTTGGCCATTTGGCAAAATTTTGCTATGATTTGGAAAAGACTTCACGTTTGCCAAATGTATTTAGTAGACCATATGTTTATAAATGCAATGTTTATGGTAGATTTGGCCACTTAGGAAAGTTTTATTTTGATAATGTTTCACATTTGCAAAAAACTTTAAATAATTTACCTTTGTTTGTCTACTAGTGAAACTTGCCCATCGTTACAATGAAGTTTGCTCTCAAACCTAAGTTAAGGTGAAGCTTCAGGTGATGTTCACTCAGAATGAGCTCCACCCAAGTAGTCCACATGAGCCATGTCACCCACATTTTGACAAGGTTCTCTACAGTGAACTTTGCCCATAGCCATATAAGTGCACTTTGTTAAGATCCATTTGTAGAGCTATTTTTGTGGAAATGGCTAACTCCTATTATCTCCTAAGTAAATAGCCACTAATCTACAATTAATAACCACTAATTCTTTCTTTTAGCCTATAAAAGGAGGGGAGATTACTCATTCTTTCTGATTGATCTATTTATCATTATAACCATAAGCGAGAAGAGAGATTAGATCTTGACAAAATGCGTGAGAAAATCTCCAACAATTAGCATGAAGACTCATTGTCTCAGCCAGACTATCAATAGAGTATAAGAATAACGCTCTATCAACACACAGAAAAGAACCCAGCCATATTTTTCTTATTTTATTGTAAGCTTGAAATTGTAATCTCTATTTGTTATAATTTTAAAGTTTGGAAATATTTGTTGTAGTAGTCAGTGTGTCAAGGTCGAGCAAAATGAGATCTATAGGATTGGATAGGGTTGAAGGTATCAATGAGGAGAGTAGAGCGTAGTATGGAAGGTGTTCGAAGAAGGTTACATGTGGGGTGACATGGAGACGATTAGAGCAAGATTATGATAGCAATAGCCTTTGTGATGGAGGCTATATACAACGAAGACACACATGACAGAACAAGGTGAGAGTTTGTTGCACTTTGAAGTTGGAAGTTGGAAAAAACATGTGTAGCCGAAGACCTGGAGGTGAGAGTAGCTTAGTGTTGAGTGGTACAGTTGTTGGAAGGGTGTAAAACCTTTGAGAGTGAAGGAAAGAATGTGACTGATGAGGTAGACACACATGAAACAATATTACGCCAAGAATTGAATGGGCATAGATGCAGATACGATGAGGGATCTGGTGGTTTCTAAAAGAGATGTTGGTGGCGTCTTTCGGCTACACATTTTTATTGATGGGCATATGGTCAGGAGAATTGTGAGAGGGTTCCTTAAAAGGCTAGAAATTCCATGAAGTAATGGGATGTCTAATCCCCTTTGAGTCGAAGCGTAGGGTTTTGATATGTGAGAAGAATTGGGTGAGAATCATGGTTGTGAAATTTTTGTAGATTTCATAAGCATCAAATGTGTTTTTCATTAGGTAAAGCCATGTGAAGTGAGAATGATCATCTATAAATATTATTTAGTAGCGATTATTGCAGCAATGGGGATGACCCCCAGATATTAGTTTGAACTAATTAAAAAGGTGTGGATGCTATTTTATTGATAATTTGAAAAGGTAGGGCCAAGTGTATTGCGAACTTGCAACTAGTACAAGGAAACAAAACATCAGTGGAGAAAGTTCCAAGTTTACCAATGGAGAAGAGGGTACGAAGACATGGTAGAGACAGATGGTCATAAGGATGATGTCAAAGACCACAGGTGATTGGTTTGGAGTTGAGAAGGTGGATGGCGGGAGTAGTGAGGGTGGGGAGAGTGCGCTTGTCCATGTAGTATAGGCCACTGGGATTACTACCAGTTCTAACTGTTTGTCCCGTGGAGGATCCTATATGATATAAGAGGAAGCGGTGAATATACCAGTACAATTTTGTGAAGTAATTTTTGAGATAGAGAGTAGATTCATTGTAACATTAGGAACATGGCGTACATTAGGGACTGAGAAGTGGGCGAGAATGTTGAGGTGTTTGATAAAGAACATAGGTAGTGGTGTGCCATTTGCCATGTGAATCGTGGTAGTTGGGGGAAGGGATGTTTGGTTGTTGAGGGGGGTGTGTGTGTGTGAAGATGTCAGATGATGTGTGGCACCTTAACCTAAAATCAATGAGTTAGTTTTTGTTTCTAAATGAGTAGTGTATGAGGTAGCGACCAACCTGTAGCGGATGGATGGAGTGTTTGTAGTAGGTTAGTGTATGTTAGAAAGGAAAATATGAATGGTGTTTTAACAATGATCGTCAATTACAGTGTAGACAGTTGTACGGTGGGGGATGCTATAGTAGTTTTTCATGACACTTGTCAGTAGAGTGTTCCTAGAGCTTAGAGGGCTGAGGGACATGTTGCTTCTATCTAGCACATGAGGGATGTGGTCAATGAGGGGGACAACAATAGGGTAGTGGTCGAGAGGCAGCGTGGATGGAGTTCGAACTAAGGGGAAGAGTGATTAGCTGCATATGTATCTCCTCAGCTTGTAGCTCTATGATGGCTATCTCTAGAGTGTATTGAGGGGACTAGTGGATGAGTTGGTTACAAATGGATTCAAACTCAGTCGAGTTTTCATCCAAAATTGTAAGAGACATTGCCAATCTCAATTGTTAAGGTAAATGGTATTGGAATACAGGTCAAGAAGAGATGTTTCCAGGGATGCAAGTTTTTTTTTTTGGTCAATGAAGATTATATTATCATTTACCAAATCTGAAAGTTATTTGTACATCAAGAATCTCAAAATTTGAGAACTCAAAAAGAAGATATGCACAGCAACACTTGTTACATTTTTCGTAGAGAGAGCATCCACTCCCTATTCTCCATCAAAGTGTTACTGTTAAGAACAATAGAAAAAATGTCGAATTTGATGTCTCGCACCAACTGATCAGCCCCACGACTTTTCTTCTGGAATATCCTCATATTTCTTTCAATCAACAGTTTGTATATGGTTGCATTGAGAGCCATTCTTTTGATCTTCTGTTTGAAGCCTTTACCCCTCAAGCTTTTGCTGTACCACTCTAATAGAATTTCCCAGTTACAGGCTTTCCATTTAAATTCCAACTAGTCCATGATCTTAATCCATACTTCTTTCGAGTATACACACTCAAAGAACAGGTGGTTCCTTGACTCCAATCTAGAGCAATCACATAAGCAACAATGATTGTTTTGAACAATTCCTCTCCTTAGCAATCTGTCCATTGTAAGCAGTCTGTTTTGAACAGCCATCCAACAAATGAAAGAATGTTTGGGGAAGTTCAATGGCTCCCAAACAGTATTGTACCAAGCAACTGGTACCATTAGAGCAGCAGGGGATAATGCAGTATATAGTGTTGAGATCTTGATCTTTGTATTTTTGTAACAATCACCAATGAGCTTCCTCAGGTTATCTATTCCACCACATTGTATCGAAGCTCTATCTCTAATCTTGATCATTTGTTTCCAGGTCCAGGAATCACCAGTCTTTGTTTGAACTTGCCAAATATCATTGGTTCTTAAGTAATTGCCATGAATCCACTTGATCCTTAATAACTCCTTATTCATATGAATAAACCATATATTCCTTAAAGCAGTAGCAGCATTCCAGATTGAAGCTGAGAAAATATCAAGTCCTCCATATTTTTTTCCAGTGCAGATTTTTTCCCAAGAGACTAGCGGAATTCTGGCATCACCCCATAAAAAAATCCTGCACATATCATCAATCTTCTGGAGCACACTGGTAGGTAAGATATAGCTTGAAGTCCAAAAAGTTTGAATACCAAGAATTACACCCTTGATAACTTGAATTTTACCAGCATATGATAGATTTTTGAATTTCATCCATTTTTGAAACTGACTGGTAATTTTGCTGAATAGAGGACTACAATCTACAAAAGACAACCTTTTACTTATTAGAGGCATACCCAGATATCTGATGGGGAATGTACCTTCAGTAAAGCCAAGCAGAGAGTTAATTGAAGCTTTGACAGAATCTTGGACACCACCATAAAAGATACAGGATTTATCTGCATTTTCTTCAAGGCCAGATACTGCACAAAAATCCCTGATACACTGGTGGAGCTTCATAATGGTTTGCAGGTCACCCTTTCCAAATAGAAGTAAATCATCGGCAAAGATGAGGTGAGTAGTCTTGAGTTTTTTACATTTGGGGTGAAATTTGAATTGATTATCACTCTTCAAAATGTCCAATCTTCTTGAGAGATATTCCATGCCAAGAATGAAAAGATACGGGGATAGAGGGTCCCCTTGTCTGAGCCCTCTTTGTCCATTGAAATAACAAGAATGAAAAGATACGGGGATAGAGGGTCCCCTTGTCTGAGCCCTCTTTGTCCATTGAAATAACCATATAAGGATCCATTAAGAGCAATGGAATATTTAGGAGATGTTATACAGGACATTATCCAATCAACCATAACTTTAGGAAAACCCTGTTTGCGGTGAAAGTTGCTATTTCCATTATTATTGAATCTATTACAACTTTAGTCGTTAAAATAAACTCGAATGAAATAAAAAGTTGATCTTTTTATAAGATCTTCTTACACAATGAAAATAAAAAAAGTTTACAACTTTATCAAACAAACACAGAGATCGTTCATCGGTCTTCTGCTTGCGTGGGTGTCTTTACCTGTACCGGGGTTTATCCGTGGACCACCGTCCATCAGATCTGATTACTGAAAAATTGGGCAGAGCTTCGTCTATCCGCGAAGGGATCGAGAAAACTGTAGCGCTTATCTCGACAAAAGCAAGATAATTGCTCTTCTTAGAATTACCACAACGGGATAATACTAAGGATTGGATGCGGGTGATGTAGATCTGACGAATCTCTCTCTCTTGCGTTGAAGAACTAGATCCGATCTCTCCTCCTCCTCTCTTGAAATCTGTGCACTTTAAGTCTTCAATCTGGCAAGGCTTCGCCGCGGCACCAGAATTCTAGCCCCTCAAAAAATAAGGCCTAAGGCTTGTATTTATAGGCTTGAGGGGATAACAGAGCGGTTAAAACTGATCGAAAACCGTCAAAAACACGTCCCAAGTGTGAGACAGCTCGGGGTGTCTCGCACCTGTGCGAGACAGTCTGTACCCTATTTAGTATTTTGGCTCTAATTCTTTCATCTGAACTCGGATTTGAGTGATTCAAGATGTGTTGGAAAGCTGACAAAGATATCTACAACTTTTATGTTTTGAGTTTCTTCAGATTCTAACGGGATAATAGTCAAAACAGCTCCACAAATTCCGAGACACCTTTGGGTGTCTCGGCGAGGTCCGAGACACCTTTGGGTGTCTCGGCGCTAGTTTAGTCATAACTTCCTCATATCACCTCCAAATAACCTGATTCTAGATGGGTTGGAAAACTGACAAAAATATATATAACTTTCCTGTTTTGAGTTTCTTCAGATTAAAAACTAATCATGGTCAAAACAGCTCCACAAGTTCCGAGACACCTTTGGGTGTCTCGGCCAGGTCCGAGACACCCTTGGGTGTCTCGGCGTTATTTAGGCATAACTTCCTCATATGACCTCCAAATGACCTGATTTTAGATGGGTTGGAAATTTAACAAAAATATCTACAACCTTTCTGTTTTGAGTTTCTTCAGATTTAAAACGAATCATGGTCAAAACAGCTGCACAAGTTCCGAGACACCTTTGGGTGTCTCGGCCAGGTCCGAGACACCTTTGGGTGTCTCGGCACTATTTTAGGCATAACTTCCTCATATAACTTCCAAATGACCTGATTCTAGATGGGTTAGAAATTTGACAAAAATATCTACAACTTTCCTGTTTTGAGTTTCTTTTGATTCAAAATAAATCATGATCAAAACAGCTCCAGAAGTTCCGAGACACCTTTGGGTGTCTCGGCCAGGTCCGAGACACCTTTGGGTGTCTCGGCGCTATTTTAGGCATAACTTCCTCATATGACCTACAAATGACCTGATTCCAGATGAGTTGGAAAGCTGACAAAAATAGCTACAACTTTCCTGTTTTGCGTTTCTTCAGATTCAAAACGAATCATGGTCAAAATAGCTCCACAAGTGCCGAGACACCTCGGGTGTCCCAGTTCAGCCTGAGACGTTCCGTTATGCCTGTTTGTTCGTTTTCGCCGTAACTTCTTCATCCGAACTCGGATTTGTACGATTCAAAGTGCGTTGGAAAGACGGTGAGGAGTTCTATAAGTTCCAATGATTAGATCATCTGTGGAATAAATGAGACACGAAAGGCATTTCGTCTTTTGTAAGTGACACGGGGCTCCCGATCAGTTCGTATCTTTATTATTCTGAAACTCCGTTGCTTCACATAGTTTGCCGATTCACTTCAAGCGTTCATCGACATCAATCAAGCTTCTGTGAACCAGATGGTGACGTTCATCGTCTTCTCTTAGCTTTGAGCTGTTCGTGGAGACCTATAGGTAATTTTCGATGCCTACAGATACCCCCTCCAAAGCGTTCTAGACTCTCGGGCTAGCATGCGGATTGTTTTAAGTCCGTTCCGCATGTGACGTTATGCTAAAAGAGTTAACTCTTTTAGTGCTACGATATTGAATACGTAGACTTCGTCTTTCTCCTGTGAAAAGACTAAACAGCAACGTGTATCAGACGTTGACTTAGGATTTTTGGCAAATCCTCAGCCCTCAACGGATTTGTCATGCTTTTACCGATTACCGTTTGAATCGGGCTTACATGCGGATTGTCTTAAGTCCGTTCCGCATGTGACGTTGTGCTAAAAGAGTTAACCCTTTTAGTGCTACGATATTGAATACGTAGACTTCGTCTTTCTCCTGTGAAAAGACTAAACAGCAACGTGTATCAGACGTTGACTTAGGATTTTTGGCAAATCCTCAGCCCTCAACGGATTTGTCATGCTTTTACCGATTACCGTTTGAATCGGGCTTACATGCGGATTGTTTTAAGCCCGTTCCGCATGTGACGTTGTGCTAAAGGAATGAACTCCCTTAGACTTGATGCTACGACTTCGAATATGTAGACTTCGCCATTATTACGGGAATAGACTACCCGGCAACGCGTGTTAGGCGCTGACTTATCCTTATTTAGGATTCAGGATAAAAGTCCCCAGACTCGGATTCTGGTGTCTTCTTCAATCGGTAAAAGACTAAACCGGCAACGCGTGTTAGGCGTTGGCTTATCCCTGCTTAGGCTTCGGGATAAAATTCCCCAAGTTTAGACCTTGGTGTCTTTTTCTTTAATCGGTGAAAGACTAAAGGTCAAAGACTAACCGGCAATGTGTGTTAGATATAGGCTTTGGGATTTTTGGCAAACCCCCAGCCATCAACGGGTTTGATGTGCCTTTACCGATTACCGTTTGAATCGGGCTAGCATGTGAATTATTAAAACCCGTTTCACATGTAACGTTATGCTAAGAGAATTACTTCTCTTAGACTTAATGCTATGATTTTGAATACATAGACTTCGCCATTTCTTACGGTAATATGGCATCCGGCAACGCGTATTAGGCGTTGGCTCATCCCTACTTAAGATTCGGGATGAAAGTCCCCAGAATTATACTCTGGTGTCTTTTTCAATCGGTGAAAGACTAAACCGGCAACGCGTATTAGGCGTTGACTCATCCCTACTTAGGATTCGGGATGAAAGTCCCCAGAATTGTACTCTGGTGTCTTTTTCAATCGGTGAAAGACTAAACCGGCAACGCGTGTTAGGCGTTGACTTATCCCTACTCAGGATTCGGGATAAAATTCCCCGCGCGTGTGAGGCACGGATTTTGGCGTTATGAATAACGACCTGCCACAACGTCGAATATGTGGACTTTTGTCCTTTTCACGGCAAAAGACTAACCGGCAACGCGTGTTAGGCGTTGACTTATCCCTACTCAGGATTCGGGATAAAATTCCTCATGCATAAAAGGCATGGATTTTTGTTGCTACGATGCTGAATACGTAGACTCGGTCATTTTTACGGGAACGAACCACCCAGCAACGCGGGTTAAGCGTTGACTTATCCCTACTTAGGCTTCGGGATAAAATTCTCCAGACTGGATTCTGGTGTCTTTTTCAATCGGTGAAAGACTAAACCAGCAACGCGTGTTAGGCGTAGGCTTATCTCTATTTAGGAGTTGAGATAAAATTCCCCGTGCACAAAGTGCACGGATTGGAAGTTGGGAATTGTGTCTTTTCTCAGGGTAAAGACGGACTAGAAAATGGAAGAGGAAGAATTTTATATTCTATCTCCCGGCACTGAAGAGGAAGAATTTTATATTCTATCTCCAGTTGGAAAGGAAACTCAAGGTGGGATCTCCACCCCCAGAATCCGAAATGATGAAACTAAGAGTGGGATCTCCACTCCGAGAATCGGAAAGATTCAAACGACCCTAACTTTTATAGGATTGGTCATTCGATCCAAAAAGAGTCCCTCATTTATTGAGGAGAAAGCCCAATTTCGACCCTAACTTTTATAGGTTTGGCGGAAAAAGGAAAAGATGGAAGTCTTTCGTTTATCGAAAAGAATAACTCAATCTTAGTCCTAACTATCTGCAGGTTTGACTAAGTAAAGTTGGAGACAATCCTAACTTTTATAGGTTTGATTGCTCAATTGAAAGTGGACCTCTCGTTCATGAAAGGAATCGAGAGGAGAATCTGGTTGTGGCCCTAACTTTTATAGGTTTGACCAAGGAAGTAGTGGAAGTGGGAGGTTTGAGATGATCTTACCTTTTACAGGCTTGATCGTTCAATTTGAAAGTGGACCTCTCGTTCATGGAAGGAATCAAGAGGAGACTTTGGTTGTGGTCCTATCTATAGGAAGGTTTGACCAGATAGACAGTGAGAGTGGGAGTACAAATCATAGTTGGGGTTTAGTATTTATCACCTTGTTCGTAATTATCGGGTTATCCCTAAGAAAATTACATATAGCGTTCTTCTAGGAACTTCCCATTACATGAATCATCCACCCCCAGCTTCTTTCTTGGAACTGGGTCTGACTTTGTACTCCGTTACATGTCCGGGTTATCCTTAAGAATATTAGCGGTATTGCCGTTCTTATTTGGCTTATCCTAGCATTATGACGCCGGCTTCAACCAAGGTTTGGATGCTATTTTTTATAGTAAAGCAAGCCTTGGTGGGATGAAGGATCCTCCTGTGGTACGCGCAGTACTTCGAATCCGCAGTATTGTCAGCTTCCTCCTGATTCGTGATGGGCGGCAGCTTGATCTTGTTGCTTTCAAGAAGGGTCTCGAAGATGGCTAGAACGTCTTCGTCCTTGAATGAGTACTCTTTTTGGAGCCTCGGATCCGAACTATTCTGCTGTCTTCGCGACTGCTGTTGCGACGTCTGATTAACGTCAACAACTGTTGTTGGTGTCTTTCCCTCATTATGGGAAACGAGACCCTATTGGAGTATCAGAGGATTAGTCATCGGTTGGCATCTTTCAACCTTCCTCCTCCTAAGGAATCGTTCGGCCTGCTCTCCGCGCGCCTTCAACTCTCTCCAGGTATTGAGTGGCTCTACTCCCATAACGTCCAAGATGTTAATGGACAAGTTGTTATGACAGGTTTGCAAGACGAATTCCTCCGTGACGGGATCCTTGCAGTTCATTGCCTGATTGCGAAAACGTTTGATGAAGGTATCCACCGACTCTCCGTCTTTTTGTTTCTCATCGAAGAGTGTCCTGATCGACACTTCAGCGTCATCATCGAAGAAATGAGCGAGGAACATGCTTTCCAGGTCCTCCCAGCTGTTGATGCTCCCGGGCTTGAGGCGGCGGTACCAATCGAAGGCAGGCCCGCGAAGGGTGCCAACAAATAACCGGACCATCAGAAGCTCGTTGCCAAAGATCACTCCCAAATGAGACTTGAAATAGATTAGGTGCTGAGTGGGGGAACCCTTCCCGTCGAACGGTGTGAAGTTGATTAGGTTGAACTTCACCGGATACGGGATCGAATCCCATTCTTTCGGGTAAGGACATGGAATGCCGGTCTTCTTTACCTCTTGAGCAGACATTAAAGCATTAATTTTGCCCTCGAGATCCTTCATCTTTTCGTCCTCACCTATATCCTGTTTTGGAGAATTTCCGAGAGGAATAATGCGGTCACCCCCAGTGTTATTATCTTTGGCAGAACCACCCCCAGCGTTGTTATCTGTAGGGTGTGCATTTGAACCGTTGTGTTCATCCACATCTGAATCGCTACCTGTTTGGTTAGCAGTGTTGCGACGGCTGGATTCACCTAGCTGATTCGACAAAGCTCGGATGTGTTGGTCGTGCATTTGTCTCATTTCCTGCATAGCCATTTCCATTTCGATTTTGAACATTTCTTTCTGCTTGGCTAAAGCGTCCTCAATGATTTTGGTTATTTGCTCGGTATTGGTCATGAACACTTCCCGAGCTTCGCCTATGCTAGACGTTGTATCATCAGAGGCGATTGCGGAATAAGAATCCGAGAGTTCGTCATTGGAATGTATTCCTTCATGGACACCCTGGTAATCATTATGTCCAACGGTTTCTAGCTGAAGCTGAGATATTTGTTGGGTTATTTCCGAACTGACTCTTCTTCCTGGAGAGAAATTAGGGTTGGAACCACTTGAAACAATCGGAAATTTTCCTTTATTGACCATGTTGATGGTAACTTCTGGGAATTCATCATCTCGAGCAACCGATCTTCTTTGGTGGAAACGCCTTGATTTAGGCTTCGTCGTTCCATCGGAGATTCTCTTGAATATCGAGACCCTCTGCGGAACGGTCTTGGGGCAGCTACACGTTGATAATACTGCCCTGATAATTTTGATATACGGACAGTGAGAGTCCGCTTCCCAGGTACTTCTCTTTTGAGATTTATTCGTACCCCCAGCCTGATAGTACAATTCATCGACGTTGCGGTCAGAGTAACCTATCGGCTGCTTACATGGATTCTCAGGTATAACGTGTTCGTCTGTCTGAAGCGTTTTCCTCTGAGCAAACATTGCCTTGTTGGCATCTACAGGAGTCACACTTTTGGAATCACACCCTTGTGAGGGTGAAACCTTAACGGGCTCCTAGTTTTCTGCACGTACCGCCAAGCGGGCCATTGTAGAAATTAATTTGTTAGGAGGTCGCGTACGACCCCCAGTCCGGATGTTTGCTCGAAGCTCCTTCAACGGTCTCAAGCTTTCCTTAAAAGGCGCTTTTCCTCGATCCTCAGGCAGAGAACCGATGCGATTCTTCAATGGGACTTTAGCTTTGGGGAGACCCACGTTGTCATAGAGCTTCACCGGAAGTGCGGGAGCAGGGTCTGGAGTTGACAAAGGCCGGAGAGCATCGTCGTCTGCTTTTGCCTTAGGCGCTGATTTGGCCTTTGGCATCCAGACTTGCTTAGATCTTGGTGGTTTTTTGGCCACCTTTTCCTTCTGCAATTCCTGTGCCTTCCGTACAAGAATCCTCGTCTGCGCTAACAGTGCGCGGCGTTTATGGATGCGCTCCTTAAGAGTTGAACGGGTTCGTTTGATACGAACCCATTCATTAGTAGGTGGTTGGGAGGAGGTTCCCAAAGCTTGTTGCTGGAACACTTTGCGCCTTCTGCGTTTCAGATCCGTATCATAGCAGATCCCGTCAACAGACTCCAAAGCCTTGGCAAATTGACCCGCGAGATATTGACGGCGCCTTTGACGAGCCCTCTTCGTCAACACTGGTGCACTTTCAACGGGCAACTCCTTGACTTTCGAGGAGTTGTCATGAACGTTGGATCTGGTTTCTTTGGAAGCCGGTGGATCGTTACGAAGTGTAACTACAGCAGCAACGGCGGAGAGATCGTCTTCTTGGGTCTTCAGATCTGAAGACCAGCGGATCTTCTTGGAGGAGGAGGCCTTCCTGCACCTGCAAGGAGAGGCAGATCTAGAGGAGGAGGAGGAGACATACTCCTCGAACTTCTGCTGATCGAACTCGTATTCGACCTCTTCGAGCACCGGGATCTTGATCATCGGCTGCGGCACGACAGCTCCAGCAGCGAAGCGGTTGGCTCCCACTGTGGTCGCCAGTTTGTTTGCGGTGAAAGTTGCTATTTCCATTGTTATCGAATCTATTACAACTTTAGTCGTTACAATAAACTCGAAACTTTATCAAACAAACACAGAGATCGTTCATCGGTCTTCTGCTTGCGTGGGTGTCTTTGCCTGTGCCGGGGTTTATCCGTGGACCACCATCCATCAGATCTGATTACTGAAAAATTAGGCAGAGCTTCATCATATCACCTCCAAATGATCTGATTCCAGATGGGTTGGAAAGTTGACAAAAATATCTACAACTTTCTTGTTTTGAGTTTCTTCAGATTAAAAACTAATCATGGTCAAAACAGCTCCACAAGTTCCGAGACACCTTTGGGTGTCTCGGCCAGGTCCGAGACACCCTTGGGTGTCTCGGCGCTATTTTAGGCATAACTTCCTCATATGCCCTCCACATGACCTGATTTCAGATGGGTTGGAAAGTTAACAAAAATATCTACAACTTTCCTGTTTTGAGTTTCTTCATATTCAAAATGAATCATGGTCAAAACAGCTTCACAAGTTCCGAGACACATTTAGGTGTCTCGGCCAGGTCCGAGACACCTTTGGGTGTCTTGGCACTATTTTAGGCATAACTTCCTCATATGACCTCCAAATGACCTGATTCTAGATGGGTTGGAAAGTTGACAAAAATATCTACAACTTTCCTGTTTTGAGTTTCTTCAGATTCAAAACGAATCATGATCAAAACAGCTCCACAATTTCCGAGACACCTTTGGGTGTCTCGGCCAGGTCCGAGACACCTTTGGGTGTCTCGGCGCTATTTTAGGCATAACTTCCTCATATGACCTCCAAATGATCTGATTCCAGATGAGTTGGAAAGATGACAAAAATATCTACAACGTTCTTATTTTGAGTTTCTTCAGATTCAAAACGAATCACGGTAAAAATAGCTCCATAAGTGCCAAGACACCTCGGGTGTCCCAGTTCAGCCTGAGACGTTCCGTTATGCCTGTTTGTTCGTTTTCGCCGTAAATTCTTCATCCGAACTCGGATTTGAACGATTCAAAGTGTGTTGGAAAGCCGGCGAGGAGTTCTATAAGTTTAAATGATTAGATCATCTGTGGAATAAATGAGACACGAAAGGCATTTCGTCTTTTGTAAGTGACACGGGGCTCCCGATCAGTTCGTATCTTTATTATTCTGAAACTCCGTTGCTTCACATAGTTTGCCGATTCACTTCAAGCATTCGTCGACGTCAATCAAGCTTCTGTGAATCAGATGGTGACGTTCATTGTCTTCTCTTAGCTTTGAGCTGTTCGTGGAGACCTATAGGTAATTTTCGATGCCTACAAACCCAGGCCTAACAACATATGTTTCAAGAAACTCCAGCTAATAGTATCGACGGCTTTTCTAATATCTGTGTTGAGCAAAACTCTGGGAGATATACTCTTCCTGTTGTATCCCTTAACCAGTTCATGAGCCAACAAAATATTACTAGATATTTGCCTACCTTCTACAAAAGCACTTTGTGCATCATTGACAAGATACCCCATGACTGGTTTAATTCTATTAACTAGAATTTTAGAGATAAATTTGTAGAGGCAATTGCAACATGAGATAGGTCTGAAATCAGCTGGGGTTTTTGGACAGTTTACCTTTGGAATCAAAGTAATAGATGTTGAGTTGATAGCACCTAGCAGCTTTCCAGAGTTGAAGAATTCCATAATTGCTTGAGTAATATCTTCACCTATAATACTCCAAGCTCCTTTGAAGAAAGAAACACCATATCCATCTGGTCCTGGAGCTTTATCTTCAGACATTGAGAAAATGGCTTTTGTAATTTCATCTTTAGAAACAGGGGATGATAGAGCTCTAATATGAGAATCTTTCAGACAAGGGCCAGACTTGATAATGCTAATATTCCAGGGATGCAAGTTGTTTCTAGAGGTTGAAGATATATGGGTAGAACTCACGGATCGACCGATCATCCTATAATGACAGTGGGGATCGCTTGGTATGGTTGAAACTCTCGGGCAACATCTGACTGGGTGTAGAATCACTTCAGGTATTCCCAAAGGGATATGGCGGAGTTGAATCTTGCAAGTTAAAGTCTAATGGATGGACAGATGAATTGGACAATTGCCAAGATAGCACGATCTTCGACAGGGTTCAAGTCATTAAGGTAGACTCGTACAAGGAGAGGGCAGCTACATCCTTGGTAGGATCTTCAGTAGTAGATGGTCAAGTTGGGGATTTAGAGGTGCCATTAATGTGTCCCCAAAGGCCATGGTGGCAAAGAATGACATGTAGAGAGTAGGACCAGAAGCGATAGTTGTCATCATTAAGTTGATCGAATGGATCAGGGATACCTGGTTTGGTGCTGAGTAGACGAGTCGAGTCAAATTTAAAGTGAGGGTGACCATGGTGTGAGCGGCCATTAGGAATAGTGATTAGAGAGGTAGATTCATTGGGATACAACAATGCGTAGTCGTTGTGGCGCAACGGGTGTCAGGGTTGTCGAATCTTCAATGATGGGCTAAGGAGATGTAGGGCATATCGAGGTCAATGGCTAAATCGGCCGAGGAGGATACAAGGTCTGTCAAGGGTGATGGATCATTAATGAAAGGTAGCAGGTTGAGGTGTTCATCGAGATCATGGTTGTTGGCATGGGTTGAGGACGAACATCAACCGAGCGATGAGCTAGCTATGGAAGAGCGATGGGCGTAGGCGGTGCTGAAGTGGGTTTAGGGCTCGGTGCTGGCGAGCAGGATCTAATGGAGCATCAGAAGCAAGATGAATGTTTGCAAACTCCACATACTGAATAATGAGTTACTATAATTTTTCATACAAAATAAACTCAATTGCTTCGTGTGTGAAATAAAAAATAATGTTAAGACTTCTTTCCTTTGCCTTTTGATTTATTGAGTTCACTTCTTTCTTCTTGCCTGTACAAATCTCATATATGACACATTGTACAGATGTTGCAATATTGATGCTCCAATTTTAGTCCCACATCAGAAAATGAGAAGAGTTATATAAGGTTAAATGATGTGTCATACGGTTCAAGTGTGGTATTGGCTACTCACTTTTTGTAGAGGTTTGAGCCAAACAATGCTTCCCCAATCAGTGAGTTCCATGACTCGCATGTGTGTGAGTGTGTATTTCTCTTTAATGCATAAGTTATATACACATACACACACATATACATACATACATACATTACACATAAATTTGTGTGCGCGCGCATGTAAAGGAGGGGATTTTCCTCATTGACACCTATGTGGCACAATCCCCATCAACTCACACTCTCTCTCCTACTTTATGAAGATCGTGGAGATAGTGCTACATAGGCGTCAAGGAGGGAAGTCTCCTACTTGACAATGATACTCATTAATCTCATATATATATATATATATATATATATATATATATATATATATATAATATATATATATGATATATATAGTATAATAGAATATATATATATTAAGGAATATAGAAATATGGGTATGGCTTGGTAGAGTGAGATGAATATTATCCTCAAGCTCATTCAATGATGGGGGACCACATTCACATGGCGTTGAATTGTTGGTCCACCCCCCCCCCGCGGCCCCCCCCCCGGCGCGCGTGAGCGCGTGCGCGTCTATTTGAATGAGTGGATGAGAATGAGACACTTCACTACCAAGCATAAAATTTATGCTTGGTACCAAGCATACCCATTTTTCTCATATATATCATACTCCCTTTAAAAGCACGAGTTCGGAAAAATATTTCTATGGTAAATATTATCCTTCACTATTTTAAATATTTTATTTATATCTTAATATATCCTAATCCTAATTATATCATATCCTTATCCAACGTGAACTATTTGTAGCTTAACAATTTAAAAAATAATATTAATAAAATATAAAATTATTTTTATACTATTAGTTTGTTAAGATAAAAAAATTATATGCAGCTAACATACTATAATACATAAAGTATTACAAAAAAAGCTAAATTTTTTTAAAATTGTACAAAATACCCTAAAAAATTTTAAATTATAAAAATCATCCGAACGTCTAAAAACTTAAAATAATAAACATGAAATCAAGAAATTAACATTAGTTTACGAAGAATTTAAAATTTGTGAATACCATGTCAATGTCTTAAAATTTATAGAAACACCCTCAAAAGTTTACTTGAAATTCTTAAATTTTAAAACTTACAAACAACATAAATGAATTCAAGGGATTATCATAATGCACCTAAAAATTTTTAACATTTTAAAACTTAAAACAACAAATATAAAATTAAGAAATTAACAGCAGCCTCTAAAAAATTTAGAATTTTCAATTAATACCCTCAATATCCCAAAAATTATAGAAATACCCTCAAAAGTTCAAATTATAAAAAATAACCCTTAAATTCTAAAAATTTTAAAATTTACAAACAGCAAAAGATAAACTCAAGAGATTACCCTCGTGCACCTAAAAATTAAAAATTTGTCGAAATTAACCTCAAAGTTATAAAAATTATAGAAAAACTCTTTCAAAATTTAAAAATTGTAAAAAACTCTAAATTATTAAAATTTATAACCAGTACACATTAAATCTTGAAACTATTGGTAGACCATTAAAATTTAAATTTTTCAAAAATTAATCTATAGTTTTAGCAATTGTAGAAAACACCCTCAAAATTTTAGAGTTGCAAGAAATATAACTTACAACATCCAAACTTAAAAAGTAATTATTTAAAAGCGCTCCTAAAGTTTTAAAATTACAAATAAAACCCTCAAAGTTCAAAACCACAAAAAAGGTCTAGAATTTTAAAACTTGGAAAAGAAAAGTATAATTGTTAGGTATTCTTTTATTATTATTATTATATATATATATTTTCAGTATCTAAAGATAGTCTAAGTTGATACTGATAAACAAAAGCAATAAGAATAGATTTAACATATCCCGTTAAGAAATAAAATTTTAAAAAATATTATAGTTTAAAAATTATCATCACTATATATATTAAAGCAATTGCAAATAATTTTACTAATAAGTTGGAGTATCAGAAACACATTAGTAATGTAAATTGATAGATGTTTAAATCCATAAAAATAATAAAAGACTATAATATAACATCTTAGCATTAATTGATTATAATTTTGAAACATTAATCTCTGATGTTAATAACATTTATATGGTAAAAGAATATAATAAATTACGTACATAGAAACTATCAGAATATTCAGAGATATCCTTTAAAAGAATCAAGCTATTTCCATTGCAAATGGAAAAGTGACGTAAATAAATCTAAAATTCAGATAACGTCCATGAATCATTTGAATTGGCGTTAACATAAGACATATCTATTAAAGAAGCACTAACTGAGTTAGGTTGAAGAATAATTTAATAACTTTATCCCAATCAAAGAAGAATTCTCTCTGGAAGATATAAGAAAAATGAGTAAGTATTCATAAATTTCATACATTATTTTTCAAATACTAAAGAAATTAAATATTAATATTATAATCTAAGTTAAATTGGCAATAAAAATACAGGTATTTTTTTAGATCTTTGTGGAAAATCACAGGGATAGAGCAAATGTAATATTATTGACGTAACAAAAACTCTTATTGGATGCACATCAGAATAATTTATTGTAGAGAAAAAAGGTAGCTCCTAATCTTATTTAAGTAATAAATTAGCACAAAGAATTTCATATTTATGAAATTAATATCTATTCTCATTAAAATAGAAAAAAATCACAAGTTTGTATTTCAAGAAATTTGTGTTGAACATTAAAAATACATTTAACTTTTTTGTGAAATTAAACGACAAGATAAAAGATTAGCGAGCCTAAGAAAGATAACAACACAAAAAATACAACTCTAGCATGATATCACAATCGATGTAGATAATGACGACACTACTCTAGAATTACCCAGGAAAAAGATAAATGTGAGAAAGGATTGATCTTAGCTCAATAAAAAAAATAAAACATAAAGAATAAAAGATAATATTTTCTGAAAATTTTGTTAAATAGTTTAATTTTTTTGAGTGAATTTAGGATTCTTTAGAAGAGAGTTTCATGAGCTTTTTTTAGTACTTTTATATGCTTATGTGGATGCTTTTATCATATAAACGTATACTAGAGTTAGCATTAATCTTTAATTTATAACTTTTATGAAGTCTATTAATGATTAGGAGCAAACTACATATTCTCTTTTGTATCGTTTTAGCATACTTTTAACCAATCATTTTGCCTTATTTGTTTTAAATATTCACATTCCTTGTATAACATTGTTTTAATATTTTTTACTTTTATGACATTGTACTTTCTCAAGTAAAGCTTGGTTTCATGTCTGTGTAAATAATATAAAAATTCAAATTAACTTCAAATTATATATTTTTTATCGATTGAAATATCAACATGAAAATTTAAATTGGGTGTAGCCCATTTAAAAAAACATCAAAGAAAATAAATAATCACAATATTAAAGTTTGAAGATAAAAGTGAGCACAAACTATTAAAGTGGAACTGAGGTTTAGTTAGAAAATAAGCCAAAAATACTTAATCATGGTATTTAACCATGTGCATTGCACGTGTATTAAACCTAGTGTGTGTGTGTGTGTGTGTGTGTGTGTGTGTGAAAAATAAGTATGCTTGGTACCAAGCACAAATTTTATGCTTGGTAGTGAGGTGTCATATTCCCATCCACTCATTCTAATTCTCAACCACTCCCCAACTCATGTAAATGTGGGATCCGATTTTAATGAGTGGAGGAGAATATGTCACCTCACTACCAAACATAAAAACTTATGCTTGGTACCAAGCATACCCATTTTTCTATATATATATACTTTGTGGACTTTTTATCTCTCACGAGGAAGAAGTATAAAGTTTGCTTCGCGTCAAGACAAGCTTGCCTTAATTAGGAGGAGTTTCTTAGCACAATTATCGGGCAGGAGAACTAATTAATCGTCCTTATATTTTCTTTTTAGGAGTAACAACTATGGACTAGTTCATCACCAACGAAACTTGCAAGTTTGCGAATTTTAAATTAATTAGTTTTTCCTTCCCTCTCAAGATTTGATCCCTTGCCTGGCCATTTTCTGTATTAAGATAATAGTAGTATAGAAGAAAAGAATGATCACGTTTTTCATTATTATTACTTGTGCGTGAACACAACCAAGGGCCAGAACTAGATAAACCTGACCTCTGACCGAGAATTAATTATGCACTTGTGGACTGGACTTTGTTTTTGTACGCTACAGCTCAAATGATTTGTATAGTTTACTTTGAATCCATCAAATATATATGACAGTAGTTAATAAAAAGTCTTCGGTCTTTGTCCAACACATGAAGCTTAGCTAGAACCGTTCAAACTACATGCACTACCAGCACTAGACATTAAAACTATATAAGGACATAGCCTCCAAGTTCATTAACTCAGCATCAAATAAAATCCTAGAGATCTAATACAAGTTCTTGATTTCTTTCTTCCCTAGAAGAAAAAACCCTCAATTTGTGATCTTTTCTGAATTAGTCAGTGGGATTTTCTTTCATGGCGACTGAGTACTTATCTGATGAGGTGCTGAGTACCTTTGTGCCCATAGTGGTGTACTGGGTGTTTTCGGGCATATACGGACTTCTTAGTTACAATGAGAGCTGGAGGCTTCACACAAAGAGCGAGGAAGAAGAGAAGAACATAGCTTCCAAAGGACAAGTGCTGAGGGGTGTGCTTCTTCAGCAGCTGGTTCAAGTGGTGGTCGTCTTCTCCATTCTGAAATTGATCGGCGACGACAGCGGAGTACCGCCTCCGCAACCTTCCTTGTTGGTAATGGCATGGCAGTTCTTGATCGCGATGATCGTGCTCGACTCATGGCAATACCTGGGCCACCGCTACCTCCACATCAACAAGTTCCTGTACAAACACATCCACTCCTACCACCACGCTCTCATCGCTCCCTACGCCTACGGAGCCCTCTACAACAACCCCATCGAGGGCCTCATCCTCGACACCATTGGAGGATCCATGGCCTTCCTCCTCTCCGGGATGACCACTCGCACCAGCATCTACTTCTTCACCTTCGCCACAATCAAGACCGTCGACGTCCACTGTGCCCTGTGGATGCCGTGGAATCCCCTCCAGTTCTTGTTCAACAACAATGTCGCCTACCATGATGTCCACCATCAGCTTAAGGGGAACAAATACAACTACGCGCAACCGTTCTTCATCTCCTGGGACAAGATCTTTGGTACTTACGTGCCGTACACTGTTGTCGAGCGCCAGGGCGGCGGGTTTGAGGTCCGGCCAGAGCTGCCAAAGAAAGAATGAATTTCAGTCAATTGCCACATTTTTTATTAAATCCGATGTTCTTCTTCTTCTTATTATTATTATTTTCAAATGAAAGAAGACACCATGTTTGTGCGCCTTTTATCCCTTTGTAGCTGAGATTGGGAAATTAAAGTGAACCATTCTCTTATGCACATACGTGTGCGTGTACATTTTTATGGTATGAAAAGTTTTAATTCATTTGTACTCGACTAAATGTCTTCCTATGAAGCTCTCTACGCTACTAAACAAGTTTAGACCAGAGGAATGGTGTAAAAATACTCTTCTTAAGTATATGACGTCGCAGTTAGTAGCATTCTGAGGAAAATAATCAAAAGCGATGAAATTCAATTGTTGAAACCGCTTAGCCGTAGCCTTCGTTGTTGGTGCTCATTATCTGCAACGGGAAAACAATTCTTCGCCGATAATACTATGAGCGACAGAAGGGGAACGGACATTTCTGACGCGGACGTTGATGCCAATAGTTCTGTAGCAAAATTTGCAATGGAAATTAGTGACAGTATCCCATCACAGGCCTCCGCAACCTTCCTTGTTGGTAATGGCATGGCAGTTCTTGATCGCGATGATCGTGCTCGACTCATGGCAATACCTGGGCCACCGCTACCTCCACATCAACAAGTTCCTGTACAAACACATCCACTCCTACCACCACGCTCTCATCGCTCCCTACGCCTACGGAGCCCTCTACAACAACCCCATCGAGGGCCTCATCCTCGACACCATTGGAGGATCCATGGCCTTCCTCCTCTCCGGGATGACCACTCGCACCAGCATCTACTTCTTCACCTTCGCCACCATCAAGACCGTCGACGTCCACTGTGCCCTGTGGATGCCGTGGAATCCCCTCCAGTTCATGTTCAACAACAATGTCGCCTACCATGATGTTCACCATCAGCTTAAGGGGAACAAGTACAACTACGCGCAACCGTTCTTCATCTCCTGGGACAAGATCTTTGGAACTTACGTGCCGTACACTGTTGTCGAGCGCCAAGGCGGCGGGTTCGAGGTCCTACCGCAGCTTCCCAAGAAAGAATGAATTACATTCAATCCAGCGCTTTTTTTTTCCTGGGTTAAATCCATATGTGTGGCTTGTCAATTATAGTAACTTTATTGTTTTTGTGCCTTAGATTCTTTTCTCTTATTTTGCTCGGTTTGGGAATAGTAAACCATTCATTTCTAATATGTACGTATATGAACATCCTATTTTACGCAATTTTTATTTCATTCGTGTTCTTGATAAGTGTGTTTCTCAAGAAGCTCGTAAGCTCTCCTTTTAGATCACATCCTTATGGGTGGGCAAAAATCGAAACAAACCGGTTCAACCGAAAAAACCGCCCGAAAAAACGGACCGGTTAACCGAACCGAATTTTATGGATAGAAGAAGTCTCTAAACCGCCCGAACCGAATTAAACTGGTTTGGATCCGGTTTGAACCCCTGAACCGCCCAAAAAAAACCGAACCGAATTCTTAAACAAAAAGTAGCTGCGAGCCTTGGGTGTGAAGAAAATTTATGGCTGAATGTTTAGCATTTAAGAATTGTGGGGTGGAGTTTATACTAACATATATTTGAGTACGCTGATATAGTTAAGTGAGATTTCCGTAAATCAATACAAGATGTTGAGGTTGAAGGATAAATTTAGTGTTTTGGTCAAATTTCAGTGATAACATGAATACAGCTTGCTGGTGCTGGATATCAAATTAACCTATAGTATAGGTTGTCAAGGATATAAGATAATTCTTGATGAGAAAAAAGGCAGCTAAAAATTAACGAAAATCATCAAAAGGTGTGTGTGCCTGCCAAACATTGTTCTTTCTCTAAAAAAGGCTACATAATTACATGATCCTCCTAGTGTATTAAGCTAGTTATATTCAGATCATACAATTTGATTAAGTGGCTTAGTACAGTTTTGATTGTTTCTTTTCAGTTTTGATTGCTTCTTTTCAGTTTTGGATATAACTAAAACTTACCCAGATTTTTGTGAAATGGAGTTAATTCGGTTCAAAACCGAAACCGAACCGAACCGAACCGAATTTCGGTTGAGCAGAATATTCGGATGAATGGAAAAAAATCTGGATCTGGATGAGAGTTTTGAGAATCCAAAAAATTCGGATTGGATGCGGATTGGGCTTAAAACCGAACCGAACCGAATACGCCCAGCCCTACACATCCTATATCTTAGGGTGGCAATTTATGACCTAACCTCACCCGCTATAAATGGATAAGTGTTATTTTATATGGGTTGGGTCGTAAACGGGTCGATCCAAAAACCTATTTATTAATTAGTTCATAAACGGATTAACCCGCCAACTGGTTTAATCCATTCACTATTTAACATTAAGAATTTAAAATACGCACCTATAAAATATCAATAAACATTACAAAATCCATAAATTATATACAACACTATAAAAGTTTTACAATTTGCATAAAACACACTTAGAAGTTCCAAAATTAAAAAACATCCTCAAAAGTTCCAAATCTACCAAATACGGTGAAAATATAGAACTGTACAAAAGAGTACAAAAATCTATAGATTACAAACAAAACCACATCCTTGAAGTTTTAAACACTACAAAATACACCCACCAAAAGTCAAAATTTTGAAAACATAGCCTAGAAATATCAAAACCTATAAATAGTACAAAATCTAAAACTTATAAGCAACACCTTGAAAATTTTAAAATTTATAAAGAAAACACCATGATAGTTTCAAAGGTTACAAAAATCACCCCAGATAAGTCAAAATTTAAAAAAATAGAAAAGTTAGAACTTACAAATAGTGAAAATTTTATAATTTATAAACTACAAAAACCACCAAAAGTTTTTAATTTTGTAAAAACACACTAAATGTTTCAAAAACCACAAAATATACGTGTAAAAGTCAATTTTTTACAAAAACACGCCTCGAAAACATCAGAAACAAAATCCGAATAGTTTAGAAAATTACGAAATACACCCTAAAAAGGTAAACTTTTAGAGAAAAATGCCCTAGAAACAATAAAATTGACAAAGATTACAAAATCTAAAAGTTATAAACAATATCGTGAAAATATTTTCAAAATTGCTAGAAAGTATTCTGAAAGCTTCAAAATTATAAATACGCCCATAAAAAAGCCAAATTTCACAGAAACACACCACATAAATATCAAAAATTAGGGATTATTCTACTCTCCTTGATATTGATGATACGACTTGGTCAAGAAGAGATTAGCTTACCCAAAGATTATTTCATCTCTCAAGGATACTAGTGCCACTTTGAAATATTTTGTAAAATATATATGTCAGGCATTCTGACTCTTACAAAAATTCCGTTGACAACAGTGAGAGCATGTTTTTCCCCTCATCTTTTAGAAAGAAAATATTAGATGACATCTTCTGCATAAAGCACTAAAAAATTCCTGTGCACAAAGCACTAAAATATTGTCTTCACATTTATTGTTTACAGGTAAAATGGAAAATTATGTGAACAACTCAAATGTTAATGGCACGACTCGAAAATTTGTGTCCATGCAAGTTGGTGCATTATGGGTCCTAGTTCCTGTGGAGATGGCTACAACGGAGATTTTCAATCAACACCATGCCCTATCCCAAAACCTGAATGTCATGTTCACCTAATACATGTCGAAGCAGATGATGATGGCTTTACTCTTGTTATGAAAAAATCTATGAAGAAAAAGATGAGGAAATCACTCTCCATCCCAATTCATGTTGCTAATGTGCAAAAGCTTAATGCAAACATGTGCAAAAGCTTAATGCAAAAAGCAATATGGAGTTCCCTCTTCTTCAATTGCCTAACCCTCAACAACTGAAAAGCTCTATCAAGAAGAAATTTTTTTAAAGAACCCCAAGTAGGATAGTGCTATCCCTGTATAATATATCCAAGTTACTCACCCCTCAAAGGAGATGTCAGGGCAACATTCTACAAGCCCCTCTTCTATTCTCCTAGGGAGGCCTAGAGTGAGGGCTCGCTAAAATGATGCGCCACGTTCTTAGCGCTATCAATTCTATTCAAGTAAACATGCAAGTTATGAATCTAAATATGATTCAACCTTATTCTTTCGGAACCGTGTGTTTGAATAAAATGACAATCACTAGGAACAAAGACCGTCTCCTCAGTATCATTTTGCAGATTAACTCATTATGAGACTAGAGGATGATATTTAGACATCATATGCAGTGTGTCATGCCTCAAATAAATGAAAGGCAAAACACTCACTCTTTATCAACAATATGAACCATCAACATCAGTATTATCAACAATCAACTCATTACTATGAACAAACATTGACCCCAGAAGGACGTCATGTGGTGACACGATGATTGACGGCTAGGGAATATCGACTGCTCTTACAAGATATGGTATTCCATGATCTCTTTCCTAATGGTAGAAGGCGGGTCTGTTGGTTACATAAGGACTTATGCGAAAATACTGAAGTGCCTAATTTATATAATCCGCCTCCTAGTCATGTCATGAATGTCATGCCTATTAGTGTGACTAATGATGAAGATATGTATTATAAGAGGAGATGAACTATTGCATCAAATCATCAACCTGTGACAAGAAGTCAGTCTAGGTCACGGTCTATATCTCTTGAAGGTGAAAATAATGATAATGAATTATCTGCTTCTTCTTATTTTTGTTCTCACTCTAATAATACCGCTGATAGTGTAAAAAAGAATATAAGACTAATCTATTAGGCACAGAATAAGTTTTACAACTGATAAAATGCCACTTGATTATAAATTGGTACAACTTCAAAGAGATCTCTAACAAAAAGAAGAAGAAATTGCTCAACTTAGGGCACAAACATTTGCAATTCCTTCTGCTCCAAATAATGCTTTAGATGTTCACCTTCATCCAACTGCAGTTTTACTTGATAAAGTGCAAAGGCTCATCACTGAAGGAGTGAGTGCACAGTTAATGTAAAATTAGTATGCAACGAGACTAGGCTATACAAAGCCTTATCCTACTGAGATTGACATGATTCCCTTCCTTGCAAATTACCGACAACCTCAATTCGTCAAGTTCAATGGTAATGGTTCACCACATGAGCACGTCGTTCGTTTTCTAGCAGCATGCCAAGATTTCGCTCACAATAGGGCTCTTCTATTAAGACAGTTTGTTCAAATACTTTCAGGTCCTACCTTCACTTGGTATAGCAAAATTCTATTTGGATCGATAAGAAATTGGGGACACACATTAACATAGAGGGGTAGTTACATCCTAGAAATACGCCCACTACTCATGAAAAATGTGGTATTTAATGCGCTTTAAGGTAGTGGGCGGCGGTTACAAAATCCCTGAAACTATCTCCTTTGGCTGAGATAGTGGACATTGTCTCGCCCACATGAGACAGTGACCACCAAGTGATTTGCCTCCTACTCGACGGTTATGGCTCCTAATGTCTATAAATACCCCTCTACACACTTGTAGGGAGGTACTGAAGAGCAGATAGCAGAAAGAAGCTAGCATTTGGTGAACTTTAAGAGCAATAGAGAGTTCTTCATTCACTTTCAAGCATTCTTAGGAGTTCTTTGATGTTTCCTTGAGTTCAAACTTAGATTTGATCTAGAGAAGAGTACTTGTCTTACCTTGCTAAGACACATACTTCAGTTCTTGTTTCCTCATTGAAACATTAACTTCAAGCCTTCTTCGTATCCGACTTAAAACGTGCTCGGTGGTCCATGGATAACGCATCCCCGACACATGCAAAGATCCCACGCAAGCAGAAGCAACTATGTAAAAGTTTCTGTGTGTTTTTCTAAGGAATATAATTTCGTTTCTTTGTAAAGAAGAGAATTACACGTGTAAGGCTTATTCTTTTGTTTCTGTTGAACGATTTAATAGAAACTGCAAAGAAACTTTTTCCCAAAGCGAACACTAGTGGCCATTAGTGCAAGACCAGATGACATACAGATGATAAGAAGTGGAACGAGATGGATGAGAATGCTATTGCAAATCTCCATCTGACATTAGCAGATGGAGTGCTGCCAAGCATAGAGGAGAAGAAGACAGTAAAGAAGATCTGGGATACTCTAACAAAGCTATATGATGAAAATCCCTACATAACCAAATCTTCTTAAAAAGGAGACTTTAAACTCTGAGGATGGTGGAATCTACATCAATGACCGACCATATCAACACCCTAAATATACTTTTCTCCCAACTCATAATGTTGGGCATACAATCAGTGTGAATAAACG